CTGGAAAACTTCGGAAAGGAAAATGGCACCTCGATCTACTTTGCCATCCGAGCCATTGATAACAGCAGCAATGTTGGTGACGTATCTAACATAGCAAAGGCAGTGGTGCTTCTTTCCTCACTGCCCACTACTGTCCCGCCTTCCACAGCAGCCACTAATGAAACTTCCACAAAAGCCCCTAATGAAGAAAGCAGCAATCATGTGTTAAACACAGTTACCCTAATTGTGATCATAGCTTGTATTGCTGCAATTATCATTTGTGCCATTATAAGTATAACAATTTGTGTTGTACAGAAGCGAAGAAATGCACGTCCTCGAACAGGAATGTAATAATAATAAATGGGAGAACTAGTAATGTATACATTGGAGAATGAAATGAATATAGCCTGTGCAATTTAGGAACTTGAAGTATTAATGTAATATCTTTCTGTGTGTCAAGTATCCATCTTTAAATGATAACACACATGTACACACACCATATCTTGAGATGCATTTTTGTACTCTGAAGTCCTGTTCATATTCTTTGTAGTAGACTAACCAAAACCAAGATGCTGGTACTTGATGGCTAGATTTATTCCTTGTTTCCAAAAGAAAGGAAGTTGAGGATTGTTGTGATGTACAAATTGGCCCTTATGGTCAGTTTAACAAGTGTGTGAGGGGAGATGATCAAGGAATCAGTCATTGGGTGCTAAATCACTGCTTCAGCAGAGAAGAAATTCAATCCTTGAGGCAGTAGTGAGAGCTGAGAAGGTTTCCTCCTTTGGAATTCCACATATGTTTTGGGTCAAGCTAAATCTGACAGTGTATGATCCAGTTATTTAAAACTTGGGAACACTTTAATCTCATATATACAAAGAGTGGATTCCAACTGCTTTTTAAAGAGTAAAATGGGGGTGTTGGTGAGGGACCTCAACCTCCAGCCACCGAAGTTCAACATTTCTCTGCAGTCCGTCTATCCAGACACTTTTCTCCTTTGCTCAGTTCGAATCTTGAGGGCGCACAGCTGGAAGGAAACAGATTTAGGGAGAGCCCACATGTGGCAAAAACAGGACACCCCTCCCACCCACCTTGTGCATATATCAGGCAGACATGGAATTAAACAAACTGGTCTCACAGTGTCACAGCTAGTTTGGTCATTTAAAATCTCAGGAAACCTTTCAAAGGCACGAATGCATCACTCTGGGCAATGGGAGGCCATTTAAGTCAAATTCTCTTCCTAGGATTTGAGAATAGGTGGGTATGTGTTGTTGCTGTTTTAAGACACAGGATTATTGCTTCCTGGTTGTTCACTTAGTACAGGTTTAAAAGCTGAATAAATGAAACTAAATCTCCAGTGGTGTTGATTTTCTTGTGCAAATTCACTGCCAATAGAGGCCTTTTGGGCAAACTGGAATTATGCTGTTCAGTTCTTGTTTCTGCTGTTGGAGGGCAGAATCACACTTTATAAATCTTGTGGACGAGGGATAATAGAAGGCATTCCTGCCTTGGAACTACCCAATTTTTCTCTACTGCGTGCAAGAGCACCCTACATGCACTCGCACACGTGTCCTGATACCCCTACAAATTCTGTAAAAGTACTCAATATTCCTGGATTTGGCAAACCATTTCCCCTCATGAACCAACAGGGTGAGCCACGTACTCATGTGTTTCCTTGGTCCTGTGAACAGCTGGGAAAGAAGTGGAATAAGGGTGGGGAAAGAGCAAGACAACTGTACAGGGAGGAAGTGTTGCTCTATAGCCTGTGAATTAAAAGGGAGCAAACTAGCCGAGGGACATCAGACTTTTGCACCCTTTGGAAAAGTGGGTGGTTCTTCCCAAATCATTATAAATCCAGCAATCAAAAAAGGCTTTCAGCTCCAGAAAGCTGGGAACTTGCAGCCTAGGGCTGTTACGTCAACTGTCATGCTCCGTGATCTGTGATGTGGTGCAATGCCACAAATGAGGTTTGCTTTCAACCTACCCCATGCACCCTAGTTCTGAGGCCCAAATCCAGAGGCTAACAATGGAGTTCCTGGGATTGGCGAGGATGCTCCACACGTATCTAATATATATTTTTATTTTCATAAAATTAAACAATACAAATAAATACACAATTAAATTATACTAAGCCATAACAAGAAAAGTGTACCCACTATCAGGAACATTAGGCACTTATTAAATCATATACCATTTCAGGAAGCCCCTTTCCCCTTTCAAAATTGCAATAAATCTTGTGAAGATTCAAACCCCTTCCCTTTTATTAGTACATACTTAACAAGTGGTCCATACACATCATCAAAATTATTCTTATTTGTGAAGCACCTTTTCACTTTAATATCACATGTTAACTTATCATTAATACTGTGGTACCTTGGTTCACGAACACCTCAGTTCACGACCAAATTGGCTCCCGAACAGAAATTTCAAAAATTTCTTGCCTCAGGCTGTGCACTCCGCATCATGTGACAATTGTGATTGCACCCGTCTTCCCTGCACGGACACAAACGTGGTCGTGCTCGGGGTGGGGGGAGATGGCTGCGATCATGCCCGTCTATGGCAGTGATCACAGTCGTGCTCGGTGGGGGCGGGTTGCCATGATCATGCTCAGGGTGGGGGAGATGGCCACAATCTTTGTTGTTCTTTGTCACTTTGCTTCAAAATTTTGTGATTTAAAAAAATAGTTACAGAATGGATTAATCTTATTTACATTGAACCTTATGGGGAAATTTGACTTGGCTCATGAGCAATCTGGGTCACGACCAGAGTCGTGGAACGGGTTAAGTTCATGAGCCAAGGTACCACTGTAATTACATTCCAAATTTTTCTGTACCAATCACTTAATAATCTATTTTGCTTTCCAACACTTTGCTATAATAACTTTGCAGCTGTTACTAAGTTTTTTACCGACTCTTTAATATTCCATCTCCATTGTTTCTTATCAAATATTGACAATAATGCAATTCCAGGATTTACTTCAATATTTAAACTCATTATTTTACTACTTATTTAAAAACCTCTTTCCAAAATTTCATTATATATTCATATTCCCACCACATATGGAAAATAGTACCCACTCCCCACCCACAACTCCAACGTAAATAAGAGTATTTATTATCCATACTGTTGCCAACTGCAGCACCCCAAAAGACTCCAAAAGTAGTTGGCCAGAGGGAGGCCACATAGGAAAAATCCACAGACATATTGAAATTCCTGCCTCAGAAGGGAGGGGGGATAAGAACCAAATGAACTTTGTGTAACCCACAGCTAACAAGCTAGCTTGTCCTTGAACAGAGTAATCAAAAGGACAGTGGAAACTAGTTATAGCTGCCATGGAAGTTGCAAATGCAGAGGGAATAAGAACATGGCAAGCCTGTGTGATTCTCGAGCAGATAAGACATAGACATGGGAAATGTCCGGTCCTTGACAGAAGAAAGGACTCTTTGCAGCTAACAGCAGGGGAGGGGGTGCCTATATTGATGTATTGATGCATTAGATGTGTATTAAATGACCTAACTGCTTACGTAGGGTATAAAACGCATGTACGGGGGTGCAACTTTTGAGACACTGCTTTGGGCTGTGTACCCCCTTTTGTCTCCCTTTATTTGATAGTGCACTAAAATAAATAAGTCTTGTCTCAGGCTCCTTTCGACTGGGAGTCTGGGGTCCAGCTGGGCTCTCCCTAAGCTGTTGATCGTCTGAGTTCGGTAACAATATGATTCATTTTTACCGGGGTTAGGTACCACCTCCATACCAGTTTATAATTTTTTCCTTTATTCTTACTGATACACATTCTAGTACACCACATATTTTCCCACTCTTCATTATTAATATTCCTCCTTAAGTCAGTTTCCCATGATACTTTAAGAGGCTCATATTGGTCCTCTTCTTCTAATAATATCTTATAAATTTTACTTACTATCCCTTTCATCTGCACATTGTCTTGTTTTTCCTTTTTTACTATCGTATCTTTAAATCTAGTGTAAGTTACCACCAGCAAGCACTATAAATCAAGCAGTGTTGGGGAGCTTTATTGACTGGAAAATGAGCATTTTTCTCAATGACAGCATCCAGCTTTACCATTGCTATCAATGTCAGCAACCTGCCTTTGATAGGGGAAAGGCAAAGGCCATTTGAGCTAAACCTGGGCAAGCAACTTGCCCTCCTAGAGGAAAAGCTTCGGGTAACTGAGCTAATAAAGGAAAAGCAACTTGCCTTCCCAGGGGATAAATTGAGGAAGATGAAGCTTAGACTATCCACCCTTAGTCGAGACAAAAAAGATGAGAAGGAATTTGAGGGGCAGCAAACAACTAAGACTGCACACTCTATGGAAATTAAAAAAGAAAAGAAAAAGGAAAGGACAGGACAGGACAGGACAGGACAGGACAGGACAGGAAAGGGAAAGGGAAAGGGAAGAAGAAACATCATCCTGGGAAAAAGTGGTAGTCAGCTACAGAGGAATTAGAAGATATGCTACAACTGAGGAAGTAGTGAAAATTTCAAACCGCTTCAGATACTTGCGGGTAAGACGTGAGAACCCCCGGACACAGAGGAACTGATAAACACACTCAGGAACCCTGAAAATGAGTCCAAAGAAAAAGCCAACCACAGAATGACTCCACCAGAAAACAGAACAGGGGTGACAAGACCTGACCTTGCAGCAATAAAGAACCTAATATAAGTAATGAGGGATGACATAGCCATTATGGGAGATTTCAGCTTCCCTAATATTTGCTCAGAGAAACATTTAGACAAACATGGTCTTTCCAAGAGATTCCTCACATGTGTAGATGATAACTTCCTCCAGCAGAAGGTGGAGGAAAGGACGAGAACAGCTACATTAAGCCTAATTCTAATTAACAAAATGATCTGGTAGATACCGTGTTTCCTCGAAAATAAGACCTATCCCAAAAATAAGACCTAGCTGTGTTTATTCCTAGGGCCAGTGGGGAACATAAAGAGCCTTTTTAAACTTTATTTTTAACTTAACTTTAACTTAATACACTGTGTGGAGGAAACATGCTTATGCAGCTCTGCTCCCTCTGCTCCCAGTGGAGGGAGCAGAGCCGCATAAGCCGATGCTTCCTCTATAGCACCAGCTCCTGTCACAGGCAGAGTACAGTTGGTAGACATTTGGAACTGGAGAAAGAACTCTCTGAGCCACTATGTATCATATTCAAGAAATCTTGGTGAACAGGGGAAGTGTCAGCTGACTGGAGGAGAGCTGATGTGGTCCCCATCTACAAGAAAGGGAACCAGGGAACTGTAGACCAGTCCGTCTAACTTCAATTCCTGGGAAAATACTGGAACAAATCTTTAAAACAGTCAGTACTTGAAGAAAATTAAGTGATAAACAGAAAACAACATGGATTTTGTAAGAATAAGTCATGGCAAACTAACCTAATTTCATTTTTTCACTGGGATACCACCCAAATGGACAGAGGAAATGCAGTGGACATAATTTACCTAGACTTCAGCAAGGCCTTTGACAAAGTGCCCCATGATATCCTAATGAATAAATTAGCAAAATGTGGACTTGACATATCTACTGTTTGGTGGATCCACAACTGGCTCCAAAATAGGTCACAGAGAGTGATCATCAATGGCAGTTCCTCAATTTGGAAAGATATTATGAGTGGGGTACCATAGGGCTCAGTCCTGGGATCAGTACTCTTCAACATTTTTATAGATGATCTTGATGAGCAAGTCCAGGGAATGATAATTAAATTTGCAGATGCTACAAAACTGGGTGGAATAGTGAACACCCTGGAAGACAGACTGAAGACCCAGGGTGATCTTGATAAACTTGAACACTGGGCTGAAAGCAACAGAATGAGATTCAATAAGGACAAATGCCAAGTTCTTCCCCTAGGCAAAAAACCAACAACAAAAACAGAACAAAACAAAAACAAACAAACCCCTGTATCAACACAAGATGGGGAATACTTGGCTCAGTAGTACTGAATAAGAAAAAGACCACAGAGTTGTTGTAGACCAGTGGTTTTCAACCTTTTTAC